CTTTTACAATCTGTCTGTGGTGGCGACAAAAAAGAGACAAATTGTAAGAGAGAGCTACTTAGCCCTACGCGTGGGGCTAATCATAAGACCCAACTCGCTTGGGAGGGATAAACAATTTGTAAGATGTGTGCAAAATCTAAATGTGCATACAGGGGGGCGGCCTACTAAAGTTGCTCATGTCGGCATTTTCACTTAAATGGGCCATGTACATGTACAGTACATAGGCCTATGTACTGTAGCCTTGGCATGCCTAGTGTTGATTCCTAACTTAAGCATTGTAAGTGTAGAATCATTATAAAAGCAAAATACAGTGTACTTACTCCATCACGTAGGAGTGTCAGCGATTCCTCAAAGTCAAGTTTCTTACGTGTTGACCACCATGTGCTCACCATACCTTACTAGCGTCACTCAACGTGCTCGTATGCCACCGGTGCACGCACCCACGTGTCTGTCCGGTAGGTTCGCCACCCGTGTTCTTCTGTAAATGGTTTTCTTGCGGCGTTAGTTTGGCGTGGTGACGTCATACACGGAGTGCCTGGCTAAGACTAGCGCCTCACCCGTTGTTGACAACAAGTCCAAAGATCGTACAGGTAGCCCCGCTTCGCTTTGGTAAAAAAAAACAAAAAAAGCATAAGAAGCGAACTATGGGACAGAGAGAACCCCTCCCCCGCCTTTGTGTTGGTCATTGTTACACTGGTATCTCAGGAATTCCTTTCAGACATCGGGGGGGGGGGGATGTGTTAAGTGACAATAGGCTGGGGAGTGGATTGGACTTGTGGGGGGAGGGGCTACCCCTCTGTCTCATTTCGTGCCTGGTATAAAAAAAAGTCCGACTTTTCGTCATGTGCTGCAGCTGCTCCGATTAATGTCACCAAGGACAGGCCTTCGGTCGGTTCAGGACAGTAAATAAACTGCCGTAGCCAACAGTGATAAACACCCGAACTTCAAAAAATAAGGAAAAATACTCCCAAGTTTCTCAGGCGTTCGAGACGTACATCAAATGAAAGCCCAGTTTATGATTTTTCATTTTCTTTTCAAAGTTCCTTTCATCAACTGATGACTTTTGAAAAATTTTATTTCCATGGAAGATCACCCCTAAAATGCAGTCGCGGAGCCCCTCACCGTTTTGAAATATCGATGCCTACACTTCTCGAAAAATAACGAAACCGTTCCCATGCACCGATTTCTTCCAAATCTCACTCAGACACAATTTGATATTCTCTTTGCCCGCCTAAACATGTCTTTTCTACAAATCTATAAGTTCATGAACCACAAAATCTTCTATTTCGTAGAGAATTTGAGTACATACAAATAGTGATTTGGCCTGCGCAAGTAGTTTTTGGCTTATTTACTGCATCAGTCCCTACGTGACGTCGTGCGCAGGAGTATGTTACATACGCGCCTCGAAGGCACCAACCTTTTTATTTGTAAATAAATGTAACGAAGATTTCGTTGTAATACGTCAGAATGTACCAGGCACGTGCCCCCCCCCCTTCGCTTCCGAGTTCCGCTCATTGGTGTTGTTTTTTTTTCCAATAAATATATAATTTTAATATTCCGTAATTTTCAAAATATATGCCGCAGTTTATAAATTGATTCTCAGGCGGTTTATAATGAACTGCAGGCGGTTTAAACGGCAACATTTAAAAAATGAAACCAGTCTACGCCGCGCCATACCTGCAGCGCAGCCGACTTGAACCTGAGTCGCCGCCACGCGCCAGCCAGCCACGCGTACCAGCGGCGAAGCATTCCGGGCGTGGGCGGGGACAAGGCAGTCATTTTTTTCATTGGTTACCGTTTACGTTGGCTCTACTCACGTGTTAGAAATGAAGAAAAACAGTCCAGAAAGGCTGAATAGACTTTTTAAATGCACCGTAAGTACTATTCACACCTCACAAATTGTGGTCCGTCTGTTCGTTTTTGTCTTTTACGGTTGTGCAATCCATGTTGTTTATCATTTTACTGGTCTTCACAAGAAATGCTGCCTGGCTCACCCAGCAAGGACACTAAAATAATTTCGACGACTCGAGAAAGTTTAGGTTCAATGAAAACACTGGTTCGCGCGCTGCTTCATATTAGGCCTACAAATTGAAGAATGCGCTCCGGAGAGTGGCGCGGACCATACGGGCACTTCGACTTTTCGCTACGAATGTTTGTATATGAAGCAATGTTTTACCCCCAGTTTCACAAAAGGTGAAATTAAATCAAACTCTAAATATTCTGATTCATAAATGTCGATTTCATTGACTGCTACAAAGTTCCGGTGACATATTCCGATTTTCCGATTTTTTTTCCCCGAACTGCAAAATGAAATGCGCCTCAAAATATTTTTTTTTCATTTTTAGTTAAGTGAGTGGGGGGGGTAATGATTTACTAGAATTTATCACTTTTGTAGAACTTCTGAAATTTATGTGGGATTTTCTGAGATTTTTTAATAATTATGTTCATATCATTCACTCGTCTCCCAGCTCCCGATTCAAGGTGCAGGGTGAAGAGCAAATTCATATACCAGGCCAATTCACAATACGCCGTGACTATTGAAAACTGAAGTAGGGGACCTATGAAAGTCTTGCATGCGTCCTTCGGTTCGCGACAAACATGGAACTTGTTGATATTGTGTTCAAAACACATTACGATAGGCCTTTGTATAAAAATATGTGTTCACAGTGCCCAAAGTTCCACTTTTGGGTTTGACGAACCCCGCCCCTAGTCTCTGGTCAGGCAACGGGCCTGCATACAGATCACAATTCAGCTATTTTGCGGACGCCGAAGAATACGTTTCTCCGAGTGGTCCTTAGTGTTTTTTCATGCTCAAAGGTTATGCGAAGAAGCCCAAAATTAATCCCGTACTGTCGACTTATGTGTAACACGGTCATTTCACTATTTAAAAACAAATACTAGAGTTTGTTTCTTGAATCCCAAAAAGTTCAGCAAGTTTTTACATCTTGCTTTTCGCCCTCTTATCTGTTGTCTAGTGCATGCATGTATGTAGTTTTAACGTATCACCTTAATTAATATCATTAAAAATAGTCGACTCAGGCACTGCGAATAATTAGGGCCCACTTGTTGTTTTTTAAGTTGAAATGTGATCCTGTTGTTTATTTTGTCAACTAAGTGATTATGAATAACATTTTTTGTCATTTCTGGCCAATTCAACTTAGTTTACACTGGTCCCCATGTTCATGAATTGGGGATGGTACAGGTCTAGATCGCAACTGTGTCGGGCCTGTTGGGTGCACGGTAAGAATTTCGAGAGACACTTAGTCTTATTTTTTATGTTCATTGTTTGTTGATTATATAGATTTATTATATAGATTAGGTTAGAGACAGGGTGGATTATGGGTGGTTAATTAAGGAATCATAAATGTAAGGGAGGGGGGGCATAAATCTCTGGAGGGTCATACGGGGTACCATTTTTAGCGCGGGGCAGTTTGCAGTTTCAAGACAGACAAGATAAGGATCTTTCAATAAGGATCATGGAAGAAGGTTGAAAAGCTGACAGACCGCGGAACTCATGCACGCTAAAAACGGAGGGCGAAAATAAGCTCATACCAATTGTATCGAAGTTCAAATTGTTCAATTTCTGATTTTTTCAAAGGAGATGGAAATAACTACAGTAACAGAAGAAGCAACTTTGAGGTTGCGTTGAAAATCGTGGACTGTGTGTTGTTACAATGCCAAACACCAGGAAGTGCCCTTTAAATGAACGTCTTGGAGTACCACGTTTTGGCCACTGAGGATTTCAAAGAGCACCATACGCAGATCTATGACTTTTACTCGTATGTGATGATGATCGAAACCTGTTAAAGCTTCCTGCTTCTTGCCAAAAAGGAGAGACTTTACTTGGTGCATTGCTCTGAGGAACGACTTTGGGTGGTCAAAATAAAATAAGCAGCCATGGGCGGAGATACCCCTGGAGGATGGGGGTGTATCCCCCAACCTTTTGAAGTGAGAAATATTACTAATATAACAATCACCCCACTTCTCAAATCACTGACAGTGCGCATCATTTTCAAAATGTACTCCGCGCTTGCCAGCGTCACAATCTCACCTGGGATGGAGGCCGTACTGATCTTTGAGAAATCATGCCCCCTCCCTCATGCGATAAAAAAAATCTCCGCCCATGTCAATAGCAAAGGAGCACAGGTGCGTCGCATGAACACTTGAGCGAGCTTCGCCGAATAGGAAACGAACTGCTGACAATTTCGAAAAATGCGTCTTAACACGCACCCTCAAAATGACAGCTTACCTCAAAGAATAATTTTCGAGGGACCTAAGTCTTACTACTATCTTTATGTGCTTTTAGCAATCATTTTATTTATCAGTTATTTCTGGGCATGAGGTTCGTTCGTAAATTTACTACGTTCGTAAATTTACGAATTCCAAAATGGTCAAATTTCTCACCTCTTGAAAGCCATTTTTTGTTCTCGCTTAAATCCACTTTGCACACTTCTACTGGCCGAGACGGATTGGAACTTTTGTCAAGAAGTATGCAATAATTATATGACTTTTGGAACGTGAAGGTGTGGAGACATTGCTAAAAGTGGTACTTAAGTCACCTGCGCTGGAATAAATGTTGCAGGTGTAAATCGCACGCGAACAAGCATCCACTAGTGGTGTGTATACGAAGATGTTTGCTTGCTACAAGCTCTTTCGATTACTCAAGCACGGACACCATAAGGCACTAAATACAACCCTTCACTGTCTTGAAGATCTTTTATTCCCTTAAGCAAATATTGTGTGATTACATAAAATAACACCATACATATTACTTATATTTAACACAACATGGCTGGCATTGGCAAATGATAAAAATTTACATAACTGAATAATTAACCGCTAACCGTTTTTGGTGGCTGCTCAATACATAAATGCATTCTAATATATAAAACGGGTTCTTGATTAATTTTGGATTTTTGCCCTGCCCGACGTGTATTTTTTAACACTGTATGCTCAGTGTATGCTCCTGAAGGCTTGTGAAAAAAATCTACAAGCGTACTCAGGTGGGACTCTACCCCAAGACCTTCTGCTTACTAGTGCAGACGTCTTGCACGCTTGTGGGTTTTTTCACAAGTCTTCAAAGGCATACAATAAGCATACAGTATTAAAAAAGACAGGTCAGGCAGGGCAAAAATCCAAAATTAATTTACATATCCCCGGTGCAAGTCGATCTTTGAAATACGGTTCATGTTTCACAAGAATACTTAAACTAAAGTCCCAACTGTGGTGGTGTTTTATAACATACAACTACATAAACTACGAACAAAAGAGCTCAAAGTGGTAAGAAATCACAAAGAAATTATGGAAGTCTGAATTCAACCTTGAAACGAGAAGTCGAAAGTGATAAAATTTTGAATTCTTAGAAGACACTTCACAGCTGCTTTATCTAGGGGCAAGTTCAATCGTCTGTTAACCACTGGTCGATTTTGCCTGGTGACCGGCATATACTTCATACATACTTTACCAGTCAAAATTGACCATAGGTTGACAATTTCTAACTGCTCAAACTTACCCCTGTCTAATATAAACCCCGAGGTCAACCAAATCCTTCATTTTAAATAACAGTTTAACCAAATTAAATAACATAAATCTATGCAATGTTACAATTTTTACATCACCTAATTCCAAAGAACAACATTTTGCCACCAACACTCGACCTGATTTAGTTATACTCATAATACTGAAAACCATAATTTTACAAGACCACTGCCGACTACCCGAACATATTTTGGCAAATATAAAACAAACTGAAACCAAAACTTTTAAGAAATAACTTTGAGAAACAAAAGAAAACATCAAACTAAAAGCACCTCTGAATACAGAATTTTAAACCTGATTGATAATATTGCTCCTGGAGACCGTTTTCCAACCAGAATGCTTGCCATGACCATTTGGCTGAATTATGACTGGAGTTATGCATGTCATTGTCCACCCTAAAGCAACTTAGCAAAAACGTTGGACAATGACACCACAAGAAACAACTAATAGCAAGGTTGGAGAAAATGTCAGGGAACAAAAAACATGAACAGATGAACGATTAATGCATCAATCTTGCATACCAGTAAATACAATTTCCAAGATTCCTGTTGTTTCTGGTCAAAAATTCCACATCGATGGAAAGGGCGATCACGTGAGAGCCAAAGTCTTTCTGACCACTAACAAAAACAGAATAAAAGACATCAAATACATTAGCCGAAAATCTAGCTCTACGTATACCTACTTAACACCATCTCAGAAACTAAAAACTGAATACAACCATAAGTAACCATGCAAGCATGCATCCTTGAAACATGCAGCCCAATGATGCCAATCTCATTTACATATACTTACAATTAAAAAAATGAGTTTACACGTGACAGCCCATAAATATGAATATGTATATATCTCAAATTATTAACATGAATATGCAGCAGGCCTAGATACTAATTATATAAATTTCATTTCACATAAAAATACACTTTGCTCTAGTCTCTTCTATATTTCACACTTTTGCATCAGGAATACTCAGTTAAAACAATAATTTTACACTTACTGTTAAAAACTTTATTTACTTGTTTTACATGATTTGTTTTAGATTTTCACACAATGATTAATACATAACACATGCTCCTAACTTTCAATGGAATATTGACAAGAAAATGCAAACTGTAGCACGGTTCCAAATTAACTCTTTTTTTTTCAAAATAATGCCTTCAATTGGTGGGATTGTTCAGACTTTTCAAAACACGAACTAGGATTGAATTTCTTGAAAAAGTTACAATCTTTCTGAATGTTTTCAAATAACTTGTAAATCAAAATGTACAACAGTTTGGGAGAAACAGTTATATTCATGGCAAAAGTTAAATTCGGTGGAACCTTTTTAGACAGAAAACCACACTTGAAAACGTTAACATCTCAACAATTTACAGAACACAGACGATGCTGCATGAATACCAGTGAGTTCATTTCATGGCAAGTTCAAAAACAATGACGTGCGTGCAAGACAGGCTTTTATCAAAAATATTCTGCACAAATTTCTGAATTGTCAGACATTTCTGAATTTCTATCAAATACCCTGTGAGATGGACATACTAATGTCACAGTTAAGTTTATGCTATTTACATAGTGCTCCAATTTGATCTTTGCTTCAATCTGTTTTGTAAGATCTTGGTGAATATGAATTATCTTTCAATTTTGGCGGCCATGTTTACCAAAACAGACAATGGAGTAGGCCTACAAGAAACCAATCACAGGCTTGTTCACTATTAACCTGGGCTACAATAAGAGAAACGTTACACATTTTTGGAATGGCTTGTGTGATTTGACCAGAGACTGGATGACTTGTCGACTAACACATTGTGGAAAACGCAAAATATAATATTATGGAATAAGTAAATACATGCAAGATATTTTATCATTTTTTTAAAAATGCAACCTTCTGAGGCAACTTCAGAGTGACGCAGGCTTTGATATTCCATCATGGAATCCAACACCTGTCTTCCTGGTGAAAAGTTCACTGTTGTAGTCTCTCCCTCATTTCCAATTCCTATTCATTTACATTAATGGAGCTTATTTACCGCTTGGAAAAATTTGTCAGAAAAGGATCGACATGTACCTCCAAGGAATTATCAACAACAGTCCTGCCTCTTTGAGGGCGCCAATTCACTATACAACTTACGTGTACATCTCAATTTACATGTGGCATTGGGAAAGGCCCATCTCAAGCAGACAGTGCTTGTCGGAGCCAATTTTGCTTCAAATCAAGATAACCGCCCAATGCCACTCTCAAAATATATACAACCTGTACAAATTACGAATAGCGACCGCTAAACCCTTCTATAGCATGTCTACCACAGAATGGATTGCAATCCATTTTCCGAAACAAATGTTTCGGCAGCGATATTTTTCAACAGTTATTAACTCTGAGGGAGTGTCTCAAAAGTCGGGAACATTTACATCTCGTTGGACCATTTCATTGGAACCGTCAACTTTGTGCATAGGCCATCATTAGGCAGTATTTTGATGGTGATGCCACACTCCAAGGCGTTCCAAATGGAACGTTCCATCCATCCCAAATGATTGGACACTCAACGCCTAAATCCCAGGGTAATTGTTAGCTTCCAATTTCCCTAGGATCTGACCAAAGTGATTCTGTGTACTCTGATGGTTTGGGATCAACACTACATAAGGAATGTGAGAATGTTACCCACAATGGCATGCAATGTCCACGTTGACTTCACAAGGCAGTTAGGCAACCCATTAACCGTGATGATGCATTCTCATCTTTTCACGTTATGTCAGACTTCACTCTCAGACCCTCTATGATACAAATCATTTGTTTTCAGAGTCCATGTTGCTTTTTTAGCATCTGTACAGCACCCTGACATGCCATATGCATCTATGCTTGTATTAAAAACTTTTGCAATTATGCCTTTTACAGCCATGCAATTACAAGCTGGCAGTCCAAAACTGCTTAGAAAATCTCAGACCTGCATTCAGATGCATTCTGGATTAAATTGAAAAACTATAAACCTGTAGCACAAAATTTGAACCCAGGTCAGGGCACTAGTTTCAAGGAAGTGCCGAGTGCATACACGAAGAAGTCCAGTTCACAGAGCAGTTTGGCTTGTAGGCAATAAAAGTCTTCACTTAGCACAAATTGGTTACCAGCCAAATTGTCCCACAATGCCTATCTTTTGTGACTGGCTCTCAGCGGAATTTTGCTTAGAAAAAGTTGCTAAGCGACATTTCCTGCATGGCACCTCCATTAACTTGGGGCCAAATTTTGGTAACATGTCCCCAAGCAAAGGACTCTGTACACTGATTTTCGCTCAGGACTTAAATTTGCTGCGCAAATCTTTTCTGCCTCAGAACACCATGAAAATTGATTCCATGCTGTGATGTTGGAGAAGTCGGAGTTTGGCTAATCTGTAAGCAACTTCACCATTCCAAAACACCCAAATGACACTAACTATGGAGTCAAACATTTCTTCGATAACATCCAAAACAGGTATTGTTGTCCACAGCTGTGAATATTCACCTCTGCATGGAAAGGGCAGAGTCAAAGCTGTAGCCACCAAATATCTCACTGGAATGCGGCTCAGTCATTGCAGTAACATGCCAAGCAGATTGGCAGGTTGAAGTGATTAAAGAGTCCGACCCACTGCTGGCCAGTTCTATGTCTCTAAAACTTCTAACTCATCAAAGTTCAGGGCCTCTAGTGCCCTGGGCGGTCGAGGAACACCGGAGTCTTCTGAGTTCTCTGTGTTTTCATCGTCGGAGAAACTGATGTGGAGTTTGGTTTCTGGAATTGACAGCTCATTGCCATGGGGACTCAGGCTGCCCTCCGACAGAGCCCCAGGGCTGTGGATACTCAGAGAAGTGGAATGGAGGACAGGCTGGGAGAAGTGGTTGCTGGCATTTGTCAGCCTGGAATCGGAGAGGCTCTGGCCTTGGGAGTTGTGGTTGAAGTTGATGTTGAGGGGTGATCGCTCGGTTAATGTCCCCGAGGAGTCGGTCAGACCGCTGCTGTTGTTGTTGGTGGAAATCTCAAACAAGTTTGGATATTGTTCCTCCTGTTGCTGCTTTTGTTGCTGTTGTCTCTGTGGCTTGCTACTGTGAGGATGCCGGCGGCGCTGCTTCGGTGATTTGCTGGCCGGAGCCTCTGCCAGGGGGGAGACGTTCAGCTCCAGCTTGTTCCCTGTCGAGTCCTGCATGGGAACCGGCACAATCACCCGGACCCCATCGTTGGGTGTCGAGGCGCGCTCTCTGCCCATCTTCTTGGGCCGCTCGATGGTGGGCGTCTCAAACATGTCCCGTTCAGCAGGGCCAAAGCTGTCGCCCTCAGGGGGGTCGGAGAGGATGTTGAGCTTCTTCAGGCTGGTGGTGACCAACTCCTCCTGGCTCTCATTCAGGTCATCATAATCGTCAGCATTGTGGCCATCCGGGAGGGTGGGACCACGGCCGAAGATGTCGTTGTTGCTGTCTGAAGTGCTGCCGCTACTCCGATCCCCTGCTTGCTTCTGCGAGATGTTCATCTGGTTGGTCTCCTCCCGATGCTTCTTGATGGCTTCATAGTTGTCGAACAGATCCTCTGGTTCGGGTTCCTCCGTGTTCCGGTCCACCAGGTCAAAGGGCAGGCTGTCGGCCAGCAAAGGAAACTCTGGCAGGAGGACATCCCCCGGCTTGGGTATGGTCACCTCAGCGGGCTGGGCCGTGGGCTGGGCCATAGGCTGGGCCGTGGGCGTCTGCTGCATGTTGGTAAACGGGTTACCGGGGCTGGGCGAAGTACCACTGAGCTTCATCTCTAGTTCCTGGATGTGCAGGACTAGTTCTTGCTGGTGCATCAGGAGCTCACGGTTGTGCACCATGAGTTGGTGAATTCTTGCCTATTACATGTAAATCAGAAGAAACCCCAAATTATGTAATCATGACGAAATCCTGACCTTGCAGGGTACATTCGACAGCAAAGCAAAATACATGGAAAAATACACATACTAAAATATACTTGTACATACTCAGAGGATGTATGCTTTTACAGAATCTGGACCAATAAGCCTTTTGAAGTTAACTTTGACCCAAATCTGGTACACTGAGTTCTTTACATTCACGCAAAAACATAACTTGAATTCTCCTTACAAAAACCACTACTGCTTAGTTACATAAGAGATACCTTGCAACAATACACTGTTCTCAATGGATAAGAAGGGCACAAAGGAACCAGTCCATTCCAGAGATGGTGGTCGCTATGCAAAAGCTTGCCCCGAATCACGAGGTATAGCAACAGTGTCTTTAGTCTGGGGAATTCAAATCATTATGTTTAAGTGCAGTCAGACAACTCAGTGTATCAGATTTTATTCAAATTTAACTCGCAAATGGATTATTCCACAGTGCATGTACCTTGACAAATTCTATGCAACACCAGAATAAATCTCTGTAATCCAAGTAGGGGTGCGTTTATCATGAGCCACTGGATTGTTCGTTCCAAGAGATGGTGCAGCTACATGTACATGCTAAATATAAATTCCACACAACCAGTGAGTGAAAGTTCCAATGCTCAGGCACAAGAAATTTGTGAACTGGTGAACTGGCAATGGTTTCACCAGAAACTGCATAAAATAAACCACTGCTTCCAATCAGCTTTGGAATTAACCACTTCCTGCCGGGAACTCCGGAATCGGAGACGTATGGTTTACATGCGGGGCCGGGGTCTCCGAACTCGGACAAAGGAAACAGGGCCCTGTAACAAAAGACCGTACTCTGAACAAAAGACCAGGCTGCTGGGCGTTATCGACATTTTTCACTCTCAAAAGTGGTGATAATCCAGCCTTGTTTTGAAACCGTATACCAGGGTTTGGGGCATTGAGAGCGAGCCGATTACCACCGGGGACAAAAGCGCTACACCACCGCAGCAATGAACAACACAGCACCGCTGCACGCTAATCTGGCCCCTATTGAAAAGAGGTCAGCAGTGCACTGAGCCAGGTTCGTGACCAAAAGAGAGTTACATGACACTGCATAATCTGGGCTCTTTTTACAAGGCTACAGCCTGGCTGAAATACTCGGGCGTCAATGAAGGTCACCTGTCACCTTAGAATAGTGCCTAAAGATTACTTCGTACAGCTAGAAACGTCCATTGAATGAAATGATGAATTTTTGAAGAATTTTGAAAACGGAAAAAAAAAAGTACCCCAAAGCTGTGTCTGTCATTAACAGTCAATAGACAATGCGACAAATTGATGCACAGATTCTTTGGGTGGTATTCTAAATCTACTCCGTGGCTAACCTGGGACTCCATCCTAGCCGAGGTCTCGGCTGACAGCTGGTCCTTCAGCAGCTGCACCTGGGCCAGCGCCACCTGCGTCTGGGCTTCCTGCTGCTGTAATTGCTGCTGCAGGAGCTGGCGTTGGTGGTAGAGCGACAACGAGGCCATGTGGGACATGCTGGGATCGTCGTAGCCCATGCTGACCGGTGGGACGAAGGCTGAGAACTGAAACAAATGGGGGGAGGGAGAGAAGATTAAAAGGACTTCAATGAAATGGAGAAATGATGAGTGACCCAATAAATTTCAGAATCAAAAGTTCTTGTTGTTTAATTAGCAGGAATACAAGACATTGGCTACCTACTGACCCTGTATACAACATCCAACATTAGCAGTGTAGCAGTTTGATCATGCATGTCTGACCATTTTACAAAGCTTCTTGATTTTTTCCCCCCCAAAATCTGGCATGCAAATCTTCCATGCTTTCATACAGTGGTCGTCACCCTACATGTAGGTGCCAGGTCATGTCCAAAATTGGCATATGGTGGCTATGGCTTACGTTGTTTTGTCATTTGTGTGCTACAGTGAAATGCCACAGCCATAGACAAAACTTCTGACTCGGATTAGGCCTGATTGATTGGCGAGGTCTGTGGGCACTGCATGAAATGAGTGCTACTGATTTCTGCCCCAATACAGTACGTACCCTCTGCTGTGAGTGAGAGATGAAGAACGGGTGCTTGCTCATCATCTCCGGCTGAGCGCTGGCCGGTCGCTCCGGCATCTTGATCTCCTGGTTGTCAATCTTGGGAGCTTCCTTGGCAACATCTGCTGAGAGGGGGCGGGGCTTGGCCTCGTTGCCCCCATCCACTGCTCGTTCTGGGAGGCACAAAAGACATCAACAGTATCACCATTAAAACTTGAGACACAAGCTGGCATGATGGCTGAGTTTGGGTGGCTTGTTCTCATATGTTCAACAACTCAATCTATTGTTCATGAGTCAGATGACGGGAATGAATTATTGATTATCCTAGAAGTTGGTGGCATCCATGTACATGTACGCTCTTCAAGGGTTAACGTTTGGATAACTGCGCTGAATTCTTTTTTATTTAACAAGAAACATACATTTCTGTGTTAAGGAAAAGTATCAATATTAATTTTGCAAAACACTATTTTTGCTGCTGTTCAAAAATCAATATCCAACGAGTTTTTTCCATTGTTCCTGTAAAACCCTGAACGAGGAGGTGGTGTGTGATCCTCTTCCAAGAACAGTGTTCTTGGGTCGAGTTCCTGCCGTTGGAGAACGAGAGTAAGCAACGCCTGCCAACAACAGCATTTTTCACAAACAGATTTTCCAATGTCATCGGAATGACAAAATGGGTGACACGTCAAAACAACAAACTCGATTTGCTCTCTCCTGCGCAAAACTACATGTAACCAAACTACAGGTCTATGCTTGTGGAGGGGATCCTACCTGGTATGTACATGTACCTTTAATGTTTTATGCACGTCACAGCCATACATTGTATGTATGGTGCATTTCTGCCACTGATGTGAGTAAACGGTTTGGACAAGCATACATTAAGGTTGGATGATTATTAACCTACTTAGCTCTGGTTGGTATGCAATATACATGTACATGTACCAAGGCTAGCGCCATTTATTGAGATTGTTTTGTACTCAAGACACATGTAAATCAGGGGTGTGATTTGGGGAAAATGAAAAATCCCCGAAACATTCATCGGAGGGTTTTGCAAGTCGGGTTGGCCACAGCTTCCTTACAATTTGCGGCATATCTATTTGATTATAGGAGGAGATTCAGGTGCTACGTGTAAGCCACCACAAGAGCTGTTCTTACTTTGAGGGATACAATTATAACATTTACTGCAACAAAACCCTTGTGCTCATTCACTTCAATTGCAATTATACATATAAGCTATAACTCGTGACAATCAAAGACCTAGAAGTGACACACACGCATGCAGTGATCCACAAAATTCTATTACAATTTATTAAAACTGAAAACTGTCTCACACAGATGAGTACTGCATTACTTGTGACACCAGGGCATATAGTTTTTGTGTTGACTACAGTACTACCCAGGTTTGTCTATTTTCACAAGAAAGTCACGATAATATATCAATTTCCCCTTGGTTAATTCTTTGTCCACCTCGGTTTCCTGCCAGGAAAATTTCCAAGAATTCTTGAATCCTTTGTCTACATTCATATCCCCTTCCCTACCTACTACCTTGTTGTATGACATTTTTGATGGACGTCGATGACATAAGACCACGAAAATGAAACGAAACGGCAGACAGACGCAAGTTGTACACAGTGCATGCAACGACAACAAGTGTACCATGCATACACACACAGCGAACGTACAGTGCGTTCAGTACACAACGATCATACCGCTGGCCTGGGGCCCTATGTTTTAACAATGATACCCCCTCCGTTCAATGTACTATTACCTATGTATCTGGCACATGTCCAGGGGGAGTAACAACCCAAAAGCGCATGCTATACACTTAAACTTGTGCAAGTCTTTCGCTTAGTTTCGCACCAAATATTGTAGTCTTTGCATTTCAGAAATTCCGGATAGTCTCACAGAAATTCTGGAAATCCGGAAAAATCCGGACAAATCACACCCCTGGTAAAATGTAAGCATATGCCGCAACAATGAGTTTCTCGTCCCACTCTTCACAAATTGAAGGGTATGCAAAGTGCGGAATACTCACTGTGGCTGGGGCTGGGCTCTGTGGCCTGTTCCTCACCCTGTTTGTCGCTCTCTCCGTCTGCCTGTCCGTCACCCGTCGTGGACGCATGCTGGATGCTCAGCTTGTGGCAGACTTCGAAGGCCTGGCCAATGCTGCGCACGATGCGCATGGCTTGGCTCTGCATCAGTAAAAAGACCACGGAACATCGTGAGAAAGAACGAGGCTTGTGGACCCCCCCACCAAAAAAAACCAAGGGGACTGCACATCTCAGTGCAGTGCTATGCACTGATTCGCTCATGTGGAGATCTCAACAAAGCTTTGATGATCCTTGTTTCATATAAAGCCAAATTTTTAAATGACACCAGAACGTAAACTTGCAGGTCATCTCATATACAGGGGTATGTACCAATCAGTCAACCTAGACATCAGTTCATTAATTACTGAGATACTTTCTAAAGCATGACTATGGCTACATGAGTATTTGATGTCACAAAATAACATCTACAGTGCACTTTTGCACCAAGTATTAACCAAGAGTTCTTGCCTTCATTTATTACCCCAGGAGGCAATATTTTCTTACTGAATTCAATGCACTGATTTATAGCGGGTGGCAATAGGCCTCCCCATCGTGAAACTAATGTGGCGCCCTCTTGTGATGCACAACTAGAGTCCAATGTTAGATGTAGCATTGCTGGTTGTCTTACGCATGAACTCATTCTGTCTCTGATGAGTGGGCAACCCCATCCCCAAAGTCAGCCCTCACATCCAGAACATGGCTGCAATTGAGATATTTCTCAATGTCTTGACTCACAAAAATGCGTCAAGTGCAAATCATTAGTGACTTCGGATATGAGGTAAACTCAATCTCCATGCAGAGAATCCCAAGGGCTTCCCCACGTTAAAGTTCATGCGCTTTTACCTCGGTACATTGAGCCTTGACATCGACATGTGTTAACTGCAAAATGCTTTAGAAGGATGAAACTATTTCCACTTTCACTTTGTCCCCCAGATCCATGTAAATGCACATGTACGTATGTGAGTAAAACAAGCCAGTATGAGGTAGGTGATAGACAGGTACCACAAGTGTTCTTTGCCCGAAGGACACATAGGCTGAGTTGGGGGGGGGCTTGTTCTCGTATGTTCAGGAACAGCTCGAATGTGGGTCGGCCACTTGAACGCTAGGAACGGACAACCGGTTATCGCTACTAGTTACTTGTAGCATGCAAGCAACATGCAACAAAAAGGCAACATGGCGGCGTCCTTGTACATTCTTCAAGAGCTAATGTTTGAGCTAAATTCTTTTCCATTAAACAAATCATATCTTTCGATTAATTTAAAGTTAATCGTGCAAAACTTTCCATTGTCTCCAGTTCAGTAAGCCATCTCGATAGTTTTTGCAGCATTTCAAAAATCAAATCTCACGAGTTTTCCAGTGTGTTCGTGTAAAATCCTGACGAGGAGGTGGTGTGTGATCCTGTTCCGAGAACAGTGTCCTTGAGTCGTGTTCCCACGGTTCGAGTGCGAGAACAAGAAACCTGTGTAAAGAACAGGCCACCCAAACTCGACCTCAATGAGGGAAGTCATACATGTGGAGATCAGATAGCATCAGCAAGCTCATGTTTCATTCAAACTATTTTCCCGAGCCTCTGGAAGCTTTTCTAAATGCATTATGTATTCAACGCCTGTTTTTGCCGATGCCAAGAGAAAAGGATCACAGTGCAGTAATGGGAATTCCACCCAAGTTTCATTACACAAACTCATAAAAATTCAAAGGGCAAGATAAGGGGGTATGGTTTCAGCGCGGGTATTATGACCAGTAAATGTGTTTTTCTTAAAAGCTCAGTATTAAAGTGAGACTTCACGAGTTTGCAGGGAATATTGCACAAAGAGCTTTTGCAATTTAAACCAAAAACTACACCAGAAAGACAGTTCTATGGGACCATGGGAAAATATTGATAAGCATATGGAACTCACTGACTAAGAAGATGAAAGATACACTATTAATTTTTTTCATGGGGGAATACTGCTTAGAAATTCTAAGAAAGTAAATCAAAGTTGTAAAAATATGTACCGGAATGTGTAGAATATGCAATGCACAAAGGTGATTCAATCTAGCAAAATGAGTCATAAGTCCCCTGAGCTACAGGCCTTAATAAAAGAATCTTTCACAATCTAAATCAATGGGAACCCTCGACTTTTTCCACTCTCATAATGTCCACTTTCATCAGGATACCAAACTGAGTGATACTATGAAGCAAACGGTTTATGTTGCTCTTTCTCAAGCAACCTCAAACAAAACATACTGAGGAAGATAATGACCCTAATACTCATGTTGTGAGATCAGGTCATGTATTAGTGAGGCCCACTACCTCACCTCAACATTTGAGTAGGCAAGGGAGAGAGATTGCTCCCAAGGTGCTCTAGCCTGGGTGTGCATGTGAAACTAGAGAATATCGCACCTAGCACTAACAAAATGACTCATGAGTTTCCGAAAGAAAGCATGCTGTGCCCGGATCACTGAAAGCAGTCAATGTCTTTGACGAGCCTGGATGGAAATTGTCAACGGCTGTGCTTGCATCAGCCTCACATGAGCATGAACTGACCATGTACCTGATTGTGCCAATTTCTTCAATGATGACTTTCCTTTTTTTCCTATTTTGACAGCTTGGGGGTGAATAGACTTTCCCTGTGGGACACAAAGGGATTCTTTTTCCTTATTCAATTTTTATTCCCTTTGAATGAGCTCTGTTGAAACACATTTTGTAGGTTTTTTTTTGCAATTTTATTCAATAGATTTTTGGTGCCTATATGAAACAGACTAAGGAAGCTTTTTTCTCCAAGAACAATCTTCTCGATTTTTTTTCTTTCTTAGGGGCATCTTCCCGGTATCTTACAGGAAAAACCTTATTAGTGTGAACTTCAGAATGCACCTTATTGAATGTGCATCCACACTGAAACTCCGCAAGATTAAAACGTTTTGCAAAACTCCCAACTCAAAGAACTCAGGGCTCCTTCATATTAAAAGGCTCTTTCAATATGCTGATCTCATCACCCCAAGGGCAGAGTTTACTTACGCTTACAATTCACGCATCACTGATGGTAACAGCTCCGGCTGGATTGCAATTAATTAACCGTGCATGATTTTTTTAAAGTAATGATAGATATAAAAGGGGGGAAAAAAGGATCTTGACGAGTGAAACAGATCATACAATACACAGGTCTTATACCTTCTTGTGTGACTTGAAGACATTGCACTTGAAGATATTAGTCTGGCCGTCGCGGGCTATGTAGCTGAAGATTTTCAGGTCTTGAGAGTCGTGTGAGACATAGAAAACCCTGCATGGAAGGACAGAGCATGCATTCCAGATGTCATTCAATCACTTTATGGGGTGATTCTCCAGGAATTTCCACAATATACGTGTACATATCCTGTAAAATCAGAAGGTGATTATACATGTAACTTTAATGAAGGACCTAAACCACTGTACAGTCCCAGTGTCCCTCCTCCATCATGGAAGTTTCTTTGAAATTGGACTTTGCAAAGAACTAGTGAAATCATGTGTTGCCATGGCCATAGACTGGCATCTCTGAAACTTCCCTTTTTTAGGGTATAATGTTGAACACAAACTGACCGAAGTTGTCTAACAAAAAGTCATCATGTGTATGGTCCATTTAATGTATGCTAGAGACTTCCTACATGTATCTCTTAATTAATGTTAGCTGATTTTGACATCACTACCTCAATCACAATAGTGCCCGGCATGATCACTTTATAGGCAAAACAAAATTTGAAACCCAGGATGACACTTGCACACAACTGCCTAATGTCAATTTAAGCCCTGTCTGAAAGTTACTGCTGCAATTAGGATTAACAACAGCCAATCTATGTGTTTGAACAAAAATATGATAAATGTAAAATCTTGGCCATACATTACGACAGATGAACACCTTTTTTTTTTTTAAAACAGAATCCATCAAGTAGTTTCTGAATTTCAGAATCCATCAAGTAGTTTCTGAATTTTGTGGAAAGAGGGCAGAATAAATTCGAAAATTTTTCAAAAAGGCACGTGAAGATTTTAAGCGAACACAAAAACTTGAACATACATTAAACACAGATGTATAACTCGGAAATGGCTTGAATCAAAATGAAAGAAAAGGAAATGTAGGAAATATCAGAAACTCGCATTTTGCTGACATTTTACTGACACTCACAACCTAGTGTTTATGCTCATTTTTCTCTGTCAATGAATTCAGTGCATGTCAGCACTTTTTAGGTTTACCACTTAAATGTCAACAGCTGTGTTGATGTGAGTCGCTCATAATGTGCGGGTGGAAGACCATGTCTTCAACTTCCCCTTCCAAACTCAGTATGCTCAGCACTTCTCAAGACACTGCCTCTCAAACACAGAGACCTCAAACCTCTTATTGATTAACCCATTCCCCATTTGTGACGGAAGCTAGAAATGCTTGACGTGATTCTGAGCACGCCATCGCAGCTGTCTTCAATGTGCTGAGGAAGGGCTTTGGGATGGGAGTGGACAGTTTTCCTGAGCAGCTGAGCTGACCAAACAAACCCAGTTGGCCCATCAAAATAGCTGGCAAAATGCCCCAAATGGCCTGGGATTTGAGGCATACCTGCCGCCTTGGGCTATGTGTTTGAAAGGTGCCTAAAAATGGAATCTTAATTTGCACTTGGATCAGACAACTCAAAGGCTCATGTACATGTAATTAAAAAGGTAAATCCTCAAATACTCTTCCAATTCAAGAAGTACATCATTTTTCTCAGAAAAGCTGTTTCTGTAAATCCAACCTCCTCCTCAGTCCAACGACAAAACGTTGTTTCTAAAGAGAGCCCATATTTAAAACATCCACACTTAGAAATCCCTCTGCAATTCTCTACAAAGCATCTTTCTGCACGATTTCAGTCTAGTCAAGCAATTAGCTAATGGGTTTCAATTCAACTGTCAATTATAATCGATGTAATGGTCCCTCAAGAGTTTGAGTGCATTGTGCATAGGAAGAAAAACAACTTTTTTACCGTCCTTATTAGAAATTGTAACATTTCTGACAAGGTCATGTCAATTCCATAAAACTAATGTAAAAAACTTGTGCATTTAGACATCAGCAGAAAGAATGTTACAATCAGAAATGCAACTCTTACCTGTAAACTGGGTGATGCATGATCAGTAATTTCTCATCATCCCAATCCCATGATTTCTTCTGGAAATGAAACACAGGGGAGTCATTTCAATAAACATTGTATACAACGAACATGTACATGTACATCCTTGGTAAACAAGGAACTGGCCAGGCCCCAACAGGCCAGGGACACCCTGAAGTAAACTTAGGTTTTCTGGTGTGTGGTTGTAATTTCAAGGGTCAATTTCATATTCAGTTTTAAGACACTGCTAATTTTAGCTACAGGCCAGAGAAAATTTGAAGAAACACATTCTGACTGTGCGGCAGGATAAACTCTGCAGTTTTTCCAGAAAATGCTGACGCAACAATTGAAAGTTCATGAAATAGGCTAAAACTGAATTGTACTTTTGCTGTTAAGCCTCAAAATGAATGCAAAAAATAAAAACTCAGATATTTAACCTTAAAAATAAAAAAGACGAGCCTCTCTGCCTTACTACTTCTGCAGCAGCACCAGTACCACAGGTCATCACCTGGTAAAATTTGATTGAAACATTTCCATTTTCCCTGGAGCTGAAATAACATACAAACTGTATAGTGCAATTTCCCAATGCATGTACTGTAACCCACGGAAGGTCAAACACCCCCAGAGCCAGGTAAAAGCTACAAACATATTACACAGTTGAGTGACAGATCACAGGTGGTTGGCTGTACATAACTGAACCAGGAACTTGCTCAGATTTATGGCAGTGTCTGGATGTTTGGCTTACAAACACACTCACTTCCATGTTACAGATTTAGCCTCCCTGTCAGCTGTTGCTGCTTTCCTAATTGGGGGAGGCTGGGAGCTTAAAGGCCCTTTTCCCTCTGCCTCTTGCTCCATCTCATGATCCACAAACATTTTGTAAAGCATTGGAATCAAGTGGCAAATATTCCAGAAGGCTGGCACAGCACGGACAATTCAGATGCTTCAGCAGCCAACTGCATCGATCTGGGGTTTCAAACTCAGGGCAAGAATTCAAAGAAAAATGGAAGGATGCCTGCAGCCAAAAGAAGAGACAATGCTTGGATTTGGAACATCCAGATATTTTTTTAATGTCTCATTTTTGCGGATAAGTGGAAACGATAATGAAACACTGCACGGCATACATTGTAAACAAAGGTATTGGTTTACTTACTTGTACGTATGTACACTTTGATGGGGAGCTATAACTTTAGTTACCGGTAGTTTCAAATTATTTTTCCCAGTTTGTTTTTACCATTTGGGGTTTTCTGTCTCAAAGCAGGGGACGGGGCTTCAACACTCCCCCCTCCTCAAAATCTGTCTGGCATTGCAATTTACATGTGAATGCAGTCCAACCGTGACACTCTGCACATTCCCGATAAATTGTTTACATGAACAGTAACTATACACGGTGAACATGTACACTGTGAGCTTCCCTTGGTCCAAACATGCTTGAACTGAAAGGATTCATGAATAACACTTGAGGGATGAACTGCCACGGAGAGAAATGGTCGCTTTTCCATTTCAAGAAATCATGACCTTTTATCCCTCTCTCTAGAGATTGACATCTCACCCTTAGAGACTCCTGAACAAATGAAACCCCCAACTGCGCTAAAAAAGAAACATTCCTAAAACAAAGCATATAAACGTTCCAAGAACAGATGTTTCTTCCAGATAAAAATAAACAGTTCTTATAAAGTGCATAATACAAGTACTGTAAAGTTTCCATGCTGTATTATCCAAACTGATCAGAAATGCTCAGAAAGCAGTCGTTCACTGTCATGCTTTGGGGATTTCTTGCCTTGTCATGAACTTCAAATCTGGTTTACTGACGGGGCATGACATTCAAGTAAGTTTCCCAGCAAAAGAAAAAAAATCTGCTCAGCATTATATACCAATCCTACATTTGCTGCGGCTGTCTTTTTGTCCAAGGTGGATCTTACCATTGCCCTAGTCTAATGGTCATACTTTAATTTCTCCCTGGATTTTAGAAGTGCTTGGGGGAAAACACCTTGAATAAGTGACTGGAGAACACCTGTGAGGCAGGTTTTAAATTGATGACAGGTTAGAAATTATAGTGAGATGCGAGTGGGGGGGGATATTGAGGTTTCACATCTGTCCTGAAGAAGAGGCAAGATGCACTGACTCCTGGGGTAAGATTATGGGTGAGGAAAGGGGTATAGGTCTAAAGACAAATGCAAACATAAACCCATTTAGATTTGAAGTGTGTAGTGTACCAAGAACTGGATATTATCTTCCATTGGACTGCACTTCAATCACACACTGCAGTGAAACACAGACAGTTTACACAGTGCGTAATGCGGATCTGTAACACAAAAGTGGGGTGTGTGTGTGTATGCTGCAAGCTCAGCAACCCAATTTAAATGTTTGAAATTGGAGTATTTCTGGCTGGGAGCTAAAGAGGGCATTTACAAATAACAGGTGGAGAGAACTGTGTCCACTGGATTGACTGTGTAATTGCAAGGAATTTGTGGAAAGTAGTTGTTCATTAAATGTTATTCCTGGAGAGAGAAGGCTTTTGTAAAAAAGCCCCTTATACTGTTGTCAAGGTCTTGACATCTGGCCACTGACAAAATCGGCAGTGATTTGAGACAAAGTGAAAATGCCTTTCTGTCACTGTCATGACTGACTGCCGCTGCTGTGGTTGGGCATTGCTGCAATTTTAAACACAGATGTATATTTAAATTCCTTTCGAGATACATACATGCACATGCACATGTATGAGCCCCATTACGATAATGTCCGACACCTCTCCCACATACATGTAAATAAACAGTATAAAATATTTTCATCAATAAAACATGGGCGGGGGAAATGCCTGTCTGTTATGACATTTGCATGAACTTACTTTTTTCTTTTTCTTCCTGAGAGTGACTTTGATGCCGTCCACCGAGATGGTCAGGACGACTTTCTTCTTTCGGATGGCTTTGGCTTTGAATTCATACTGCGGAGCAAAGAAACCGATTTCATTACTTGCAGAGAAAATTTGTGTACAAATACTGCAGGAGGAGTCAACAACTGGTCCCAACAACAATACCCGGTACTTTTACTCTCTTAAGTAATATTCTCAGGAAACTTTCACCAATTCCTCTTTTAAAGGCTTCATCTCGGGACTATTAACAGGGGAACATGTTTTGTACAACTTTCTACTCCTCTTAATACACAAACGTGTCCCAAACTATTTGTGGCATCCTCGTGAAAAATTCATTTTTTTAGTATTACAGATTACTTTGCTACAATTTTTCTAACAAGGGAACTTATATTCCTCCAGTACAATTCCAGGAAAGTTCACTCTGTGAGCGGGAGGTTTTCTATTTAAATATGACTCACTGAAAATTTGGAGAATATTTTGTTTAATGAGACACCGCCATGGGTTCGGGCACAAAGGTGCATTTACAAAGCTGACATTGCATTTGACCTTTAAACTTAATGTGTGCAAACTAGAGGTACATGTACATGTACATGTAACCATCACAGCACGCTTTGTGCTAAATTATACTCTCAACGGGGCATCAAGACCCATGTTAGTAACTCTACCTGGCATTCACTTTCCAATATCCTAACAACTGCTGTAAAACCTCTTAGTACATGTAGATTTTAAAGAGTTCACCACTGATCAGCGTTCTTACTACTGCAGGTGTACGTGCCAGAAAGATATGTCTGTGTTAATTTTGAAATAAACTGTTGAAGGAAATGTCCGGCCATTCTTACATGAGACTTTAACGGTTATTAAACCCCAGATTTCCTATTCTATTTGCCAGCCGGCCAAATAAGCTTTCTTAATCATGCTGGCTCCGAACTGAAACTGAACTTGTCAAGATCCATTCAAGATAGTGGGCACTCATATACTGGGAACCACTACTCTGCCTAATCATGCCAGTAATGCACTTGTCACATGGTGTTTCCTGCCTCGTTCATAAAGCAATTTATTGGTTAATATGACCATCACACCTCTAGGCAGGCAAATCAACTCAAGTTAGCACAGCTAGTGATATGACCTTTCATAAACTCCTCCTCCTGGGTGAACTTTTTTCTTTTTTTTAGGAGCAAGGGGGAAGTTCATAGCTCCAATATTTATCTTCTACTCAAACTTCGCAAGAATTTCATCAAAACAAGAGATGTCCGGGATTTTCGATTTGCCCATTGTTTTGTGTAATTTACACGTACATGTGCTTTTCAAAACAAATGATTATCAGGTTTTTTCCAATGCTGGATTAATGAACAACTTGGCAACAGTTTCCCAGGAAAAAGATCTCATGTTTTGCAGGAACAGCACATCGCAGTTTGGAAAGAAGCTGATGACAGTATGCAAACAAGATATCAGCCACGAAAATTCTCATTGGGGCCAGCCAAACAAAAAGCTTGGCATTTATACAAAAACGCTAACTGGGCAGATTTGTCTGGTTGACGACAAACAATGCCAGCTGACACTTTTGTCCAGGATAACACCAGGGCCCAATTTCACGGCACTGCTAAGCACACGACTTTATGCTAACAGAGGCTCTGTGTATTTCATGAAAACTGTAAGCAGTGAGCATGGCAAAAGGCATGCTAACCTTGGATGAAAATCTGCTTAATGTAGTAACAAATAAATGGAAAGACTATGTGTGCGCAGTCATAAGCACAACCATGCACAGCACTGCAATCAAAGAGTGATTAAGATGAGCGAACTTTTCTGCTAGGGTTAGCATGACTCTTCTGCTGTCATGCACCTCCATGAAATTGGACCCTAGTGACAGAGCATACATGTAGCCTCACAAGTTGGCAACCTGGCAATTACAAAGGGTCTATGAAATGCATTTCTTTAAAAAAATTATTGAACATGCACTTCGGTGTTTCAGTGAACCTTACCAGTATTTGGAATATCTGTTTTGTAATTTCGAAAGGTATCTCAGTGCTTCTTTGGGTTTAATGCTTATGGGCATGTCAATATTCATCAGCAAAATTGCAATGCCATCCTAGAGAGAAAAACAACTCAATTGCACAGGTTTAATTGTGCACAAACAAACCTGCTGCAACTATTAATATTTCGCTGTCCTAAATTCTGTTTTCTTTGCTGATTTATTTCTGCTGTGTAATGACCTGTACATGGCAATGCTTTCCCAGAAATGTTTTCAACTTGAACAGAAAAACATAAAAACTGAAGGGTGGCTTTATTGCCACACCTTCGACATGTGCCTCAGTTGTCCAGAAAAGCTTTGACAGTGTTCAATGTTTAAAATAAGATCACGTTTTAAAACATGTGACCCCAAAAGGATTTGAAAGAGTTTTCATCCTCTGAGGATGAATATTTACAAGTAGTCCACAAAAATCTCATCCACTGGGCCATTCCAGCAATCACCCGAGCCCCTTTGATTTGGAATGTCAAAGGCAGGTACACAGTTCAGCCCATTCCCATGACTCATACTATCCTCAGGCCAAAGTTCCGGCATGAATATCCAACTGCATTTGCACTTTTCTGCCGTGACTTTTTCCCCTCTCCCCCTCATCTTTTGGTTGGAAAGTAGGAAAATTAAAAGCCATGTCTATTCCTTTGGGTCATCTCACACATGCAGGCTTTGATTAAATAGAACTTGTGAGCAGAGAAATAACTGTATTCGTAACAGAACAGGAGCGATTGAGTCCATCTCCATGTGTTTTCAGCTGATGACATGTGTTTTACAGAGCACCAGTCTTCAGTGTCGAGGTAAGTTATTCTAGCAAACCCTCTTTTTAGAGGCACATTTGCTTAACATTTCCTCAAACACTTAACGGTGAATACAGGGGTGATAACGAATGGTAAATTCAACCCTCAACTTTACCACTTCTGTTAACGAAAAAGTACATGCGTATCTCGCATACATGTATGTGGTCTCTATAAGAAGCTGTTTGTGAAAAGCATGACCATGACGTGGCAAAAACCTGGCAATACATATCCAATTATAAATAACAAGGCCAGTCCCTCCCCATTACATGCAGGCATTCATTAAATGTAAAGGACTGGAGGAGCAGGGCCTAAAAATTGCCGTCTTGTAAGTAGTGCCCACTGGACACACAGTTAAACCGATGATCATCTCTCCCACCAAAAGTAAAATACATGCATCGGAAACTTGATCTTCTTCCAAAAGAGAAAGCTGATCCGTCAGCAAGTATACTCCAGGTTTCCTGTTTCTGTTCTCTCCTCTCAACCAGTTTATACACACCCCTCCCTCCCCACAGAGTGGAAATGCACTGAACTCTGACTAATGAAATTTGATGAGCTGACACAGCTAACAATATTGATTTTTTTTTGGGGGGGGGCATTCGCTGATGCTCTAGTATCAGACCAATGCCCCATTCCAGAATGTCCCCTGAGGAAGTTCACCAGCTGCCTGAGATGGCTGGATTCCTCTCCAAATGTTCTACCCCTGTTATACCCTAAGGACTGTTATCCATTCCTCTACATCAAGTTTCATTTTAATTTCCTGTGTGTTCTGAGCTGCATTTTAAGGAGACAGATATTTTAGGTAACATTCAATTTTTTTCAACCTATTTCAATTTCCTACTAGTCCTGTTGTGGTCTCCCAACCCTGAAAAACAAAATTTCACACAAAATTAAACATACATGTACGTTTATCCCTTTCACTGCTGCCGACCTTGTCTGGTGGTTCCATGAACTAACAATAAATCAGTGAAAAAATCAAACAAAAATCTGCTAAACAAACAGACAGAAATTAAAACCACGACCAAAACTAAAAAAACCAAAAAAACAAATACATGTTCATGTACAGTACCTCCCAAAAAAGGTCAAGCCCAGCTCTTTGTAACATGCAATGTATATGTAATTGCCTGTTTACATGTATATGTAGGTGTCAAAGGGACTTGTATAGAGTTCTGCTTGTCTGCATTTCAGAAAGACACACTGGAAGACTTTTTCAAGCAACATATGGTCCTCTACTGATACCAACATCACAAAAAACCAAGTGAATTCTGAATTCTATGCCCAGTGTTAAGAATATCTTCCTAAGTTTTAAAAAAGAAAATTGAAAATGCTGATGGCATGCATATTTGGGCGCCCCACGTCATGACATAAGAAATAATTACTACAGTGCATGTGTACTTCTACTCATCCAAGGCAATGCTGAATCTGGGATCATTACTCGTCACATACAGGAATATAAGGGAAATGGGGGAGGAGGGGCCCACATGGCCCTGCATTTTCCATTCTATTCCTGCTTATAATGAATCTGCATTCGCTGTTGATCAGGGAATATTTTTGACCATGTTAATGTGTTGAACAGGTACAATGCAAATTCAAACCATTCTCACTCACTTACTGGTGCAGACAACCACAAAGCTGAAATGTCTCATTTCTTGTCCCCAACAGAGGGCAGCATAAAGCAACAGTTGCTTTCAATACATTACAAGTCTATTACAACATCCAGGTAGGAAATCACAAGTACCCATATTGTACTGTAACATGTAACCACAAAGGAATGTTTTTGTTGCAATGCATTACAGGGTACTGTCAACTAATTCAAGCCCAATTGAAAAAGTGTAAAATCAGCAGGCTGTTCGGGGCCCAATAACATGCATGCCAACATTCCTGAGATTTCCGAAACACAAATAAAATTCTTGTCTGGTCAGTAATCTTTCAATTTCTTTTCAATTTTTTGTGGGTTAACTGATGATAACACTTTTAATTAATCCCACAAAACAAAATCACCGCCCAAAAAGTGATTTTTCCGAAGTCTGATTGCAGCCATTTTTCAAGTGGCAACCTTCAACTTTCTCTGGCACTTGGGACCATATTTCAACCGTAGATTTTAGCAATTCTGCTCTCATATGAAAGCTCAAAGACCCAAAGAGTTGATCCTGGCAAGGATTTACACAATCTTACCATTTTGGGGCCAAACAATCTCCTCTTTTAAAAGATACTGTGAGGGCACTCTTAATGCTAATGAACTGGCCTGAAATTCTCACTTG